CAACAAAAAGTTCTTCATGAAACACTGCGACGACGCGATATACAGCCTCATTAGACTCAAGGTAAGGCTAGGGGCTGTAACTAAACTAATGATTAGGCCTTGACCATCAATAATTTATTCATAGAGGCACCAGCCAACCATGTCCAGGTGCTGTTTTGGCCTTCTGGTTTCTGGAGAAAGCTATTAATTAGGTTAACTGTCATTTTCGTATCGTATGATTACTTGGAGTAATTAGGATAATGTCTTTTTCTGTTTTTTGGTTTTTGTGAATTTTTATTTATTTGTTTTTAATTTTTAATTTATTTATTTATTTATTTATTTTTATTTTTTTATTTTTTTATTTTTTTTTTTTGGGGGGGGCTACATATTTTCTGACTACTTTGAATTTTGTCTGCTTTCCTTTAAAGTACATTGGGAGTGTCGCAAAATGTTCTTGAGAAGCATTTCCTTGTAGGCAACTCCTGAGCTGTTCGAAAGCATATTATTTAATTTAGGCATGTTTGTGTTTTAAAATGTTCAGGGCAGCTGTATCTGCTGCAGGTTAGCATTGAAAAGCTTTAAAGATACACTTAGTAGATAATTAGGCCATTTATCTATTTATAAACACATTGATTTATTCCAATAGGTCAGTATGAAAATGTTAAAAGCAACTCCTACTTGAGCCTCATGTCAGTGTTGTAACACAATAGAATGCGTCATGAACCAGTGGAATCACACGGTCGTCAATTTTTGGGCATGTGAATTTATGGGTATCACCTTATAGATTTTTTACTTGTCTTGCTTTCGATTTTTTTAAAAATGAATGGCAGTTCAGATATCTGCGATTAGAGAAGGTAAAGGTCGCCTGGAAACTAAAATATTCAGGTAATTTTTTTTTCAGTAAAATACACACAGAAAAAAAAGACTCACACCGTCACGCTCGTAAGAGAATTGCTCAAGTCATTTTTGGTCTGTTTGGAGTTTTTGCTTCTGAAATGAAGAGCAGCGCCAGCTTGTTGATATAGTTCGCTTGGACAAAAGAAGAATCCTCATATAAAATCAATTGAGTGGACCAAACCTCAAGCGTTTCACAGAAACAACTGCTCAAAAGAAACAGTTCTTTCTTATTTTCTCAAAATGGCTAAAAATGACTTAGGCATTTGTCTTATCAGCGTGACGACATACTGTTACATATTCCTAATCTCCACAACTACCCCCCCCCCCACCAGGCTAAGCCATTCCCCAGCCAAGAAGATCTGATCGATCGACTAGACGTGAACATGCAGTGGGAGGAGTACAAGCAACAGACACTCAAGGACTTCCTTCAGAGATGTCGTCGATTCGACAGATGATGATGGTCATCATGAGATGATTCATCGCTTTAAGTTCATAATAATAATTAGTATTCAAATCATCAAGTCATTTTAAGATGTCTGCACAGAAGATGAAATTTATCGAAGTTGAAACGAAGTCCTGTCGTCATACCTTTACTTTCACTTTTTTTTTATTTGGAAAAGTAAATGGTTTTCTGTGGAATTTCCAAGATCAAGAGGAAAGACACTAGATCTACATTTTACAATAAAAACATCTTTGTGACTTCAATAATTTTTTAAATAGGAGTCTTTGTGGACACTCGTATTATGGTTAAAGGAAACTTCGACCCTCCACTCTTAAAAACTAAGTTAAAAGCGTCTTTTTCAAATGACGTCACAGTGAACAGAAGTGGCACCCATGAGACTGAGAGTGGAGACCCACGTGCCGGTACACCGTAGTAGGGCAACCGGAATGGAGGGTTGAAGTTTGTTTTTACTCATATAATGTGAAACTTTGCTCCAGCTGACTTGCTGGGCTCTGGACTGTGATATTATGAGAAACGTGGGAGGGCTGTAAGCTGCGGCCATATATATCATCATCATCATCATCATCATCATCATCATCATCATCATCATCATCATCATCATCATCATCATCATCATCATCATCATCATCAGGTTGTCGTCGTTGACATCGTCATCGTCGATAATGGAAAAGACCTAATCATGGGGGTACCACACACATTTTTTATTTTCTCTATTCCTCTCGTAGTCTTTGATATTCTTGTCATAGTCATCGCCGTTATCGTTATCATCATTTGCCATTATCAAATCTCACTTGGAAGGGACTTGTAGTCATTGTGATAATATATTTAACGTACAAAGTAAACGAACCTGATTTCGGTTGTGTGATTGTGTGCATGCTTCTTCAGAGTTCATGTATTGTATTTGCATATATAGGCATCATCGCGATCGACATATTAGTATTATAGTGGGCGTAGATTCAATGTCCTCCTGTGGGAGTGTGTGTTAATGTTCCGCGCTAATTACCGATCGGTACAATCTTAAGATTGTGCTGCCAGTTTTAACGATCGTATAATTGCGCGGCAATCTTAAGATTACTCTGCGCGAAAATATATGTGAAAGTTCCTTGATGTGAGTAAAAGGATAAAGATGGAAGTGAATTATTTTTTCAAAAATATAAAATATTAACGCAATTTTCAAATTGCCGCGCAATTATACGATCATCAAGGGGCACTCGTGGCCTAGATGTTAAGGTGTTGGCCTCTCATTCAAAGGTCCCGGGTTCGAATCCGGGTAGCGACCGAAAAATTTTCTTCTCTAAAATTGTCTCCTTTCACCTCCTTTCCTGCTCTCTAGCAATGTTCTGTAGTCTGCTTTCATTTCCACTTTCTGCCCCCACCCCCTTACCTCCTTTGCCCCCTCCCCTGGGCTCTTGACTCTTTCTGCAGCCTTTCTACTGCTACTCCTTGGCTCCTCCTTACTGCTGTCTTTCAGCCACACCCCTGATCTTCTGGTAAGAAAGATCTACACCTAGCCTTCTCGGACAAGGGCGAAAAATCTCGGAGGGCCCGTGTGCAAATTTCGCACGTTAAAGATCCCTTTGTGGTCTAAAATCGATAAGAGTAGGCCTCGGCCGCCACCCGGGCAAAATTCAAAATGTCCTACCAACTAAAAGTATTAGATGTGTCCCGCGCGCTCATATGACCTTATGCAGTTGCGAGCACCGTAAAACACTTACCACCCCCCCCCCCCTTTCCTACGATCATCAAAACGTACCGCTTTTTAAGATTGCACCGATTGGTAATTAGCGCGGAACATTTACATGACATTTTCTCTGTATTTGAAGCTCATAAGTACTTGGATGATGTTGTTTGATTTGAGTATGTATTTGTGTACGTACGTCTGTATTAATTTGATTGTTTCTCTTGTGTATATCTTGAGTCTTGCTGGGGTCTATGTGTATGTGCGCATGTGAGGGAGTCCCATATTAAAAATAATACTGTTTGTGCGAATGATATATATATAGATAGATGTTTGTATGTTTGTGTGAGTATGTGTGTGTTTGTACATGTGTGTCCGGGAGCGAGAGGGAGGGGGGAAGGGGAGAGAGAGATAGAGAGAGAGAGAGAGAGAGAGAGAGAGAGAGAGAGAGAGAGAGTTTGTGTGTGTGTGTGTGTAGTTTGTGTGTGTGTGTGTGTTTGTGTGTGTGTATATGTGTGTGTGAGTGAGGGAGGGAGAGAGGTAGCTGGGTCTGTATGCGTTTCTATGTCAGTGTGTTCGTGTGGGGAGGTGTCAAATGCTGCATGAAGAGCATGCGGGAGTGAGAACACAAGCTGGCTGTGAATTATATTTTTCCTTTTCTTCACAAGGTTTCTTTTGAATCAGTGTCCATTCATAGCCCCCAAGGTCTGAGTCGGTTCTATATGTAACGAGAACAACTAAATCTATTAGATCTGTACATAGACATTTTTTTACAATTTTACTTATATCGTGTACAATGAATGAAGTGCCAAAAAATTGCTTATACTACAGTATTTTTGATGATTGATTTTTTGTGTTTGTTTGTTCGTTTGTTTGTTTGTTTGATTGTTTGTTTGTTTGATTGTTTCATTGTAGTATTTACAGACTGGCTGAACGAGACTAGTACAAACTATTGATCATGAATTTGTTTTTAGGATCTAGAGCATGCAGAGACGCGTGGTGTTTCAGTGTTGCGAAAAAGCCGTAAAACATTGCGCGGTAATAGTGTCGACGTTTTCTCACTGGGGCTCCATTAGAAAGTGTAAGTAGAGGTTTCAAACAGACTTATTTGACGAAAAAAAAACGTATTTTTTATAAGTGGCAAAATTGAAAATGCCAAGGTACATTTGAAGTGGAACGCTCATTTTGCCTCACAATATTGTAGCTTTTTTTCTTTAATTTAGTTGGTATGTCCTTGGGGATACAAATTTGCCACAGCGCAGTTGAATCGGGGACTCATCAATTTTTGGACAAGTGGAGTTATTGGTATCATCTTAACTTGTTTGTTTGTCTTGCTTTCATTGAAAAACAAACGTTTATCTTAAATAGAACTCAAGATACCTCCGATTGGAGGAGGCTGAGGTCGTCTGGGTTCAGAAGTAAATAATCGAGAAAATGGCCTGCAAAGATTGGGATTCCCACAGTTTAAGAATTCTTGGAAACTGAAATATTGCATTTTTTGTGCCTTTTATAAACGTTTTTCGGTTTTTAAAAAAAATTAAATCCACACTGAAGTATGTTTTTCAATGGGCTTTATAGATTCTGGGACAAAAATCAAAATGTCAATACAAATGACCAAATCAGCGGGGAAATACAAGTTTCTTCGAATGCACTATTTTGACGAGCACCTGCTTTCACTACGACGTCTCACAATAACTATTCCTTGTGTTGGCCATAATGGAGCGGTGTCTTCCAGACTTCCAGATAGAATGTTGTACTAGTTTCCTGTTGACGTGTGTAGTGACTTCTTCGACGAAAGTCTAGTCGACGACACAGTATAGTGGCCTGCTTTGTGCATGGATGTTATAGATTTTTAGAAAAATTACAATACATTTTACTGAACTTCAAGCTTCTTGTTCGTTTCTCAGGTTTTTTTGTCTTATTGGTATTATTATTTGTTTATATTATTATTATTATTATTATTATTATTATTATTATTATTATTATTATTATTATTATTATTATTATTATTATTATTGTTGTTGTTGTTATTAATTTATCATTATTATTGTTGTTGTTGTTGCTATTGCTGTTGCTATTGTTGTTGTTGTTGTTCTTGTTGTTGTTTTTGTTGCTGTTGTTGCTGCTTTTGTTATTGTTGTTCTTGTAGTTGTAAGTGTTATTCGCTCTCAGTGACACAATTTAAATCAATCACGAGGCCGGCTGCCCCGACCCTGCTTGTCAAGGTCAACACTAACTAAGTGGGATACAGGATCCCAGCGGACAGATGGGGATACTTGATGCACACTCGGGATTTTTAAAAAATAATTATTTAAAAAAAAAAAAATTTTAAATAAATAAATAAAAATAAAAATTATAATAATAATAATAATAATAGAAATAATAAAAATAATAATAATAATAATAATAATAATAATAATAATAATAATAATAATAATAATAATAATAATATTAATAATAATAATAATGATAATAGTAATATATAATATTTATATAGCGCATTTCCAAAAAAGTAGCTCAATGCGCTTTACATTGGAATGCCCATTTTTCAAAACCTTTCTTACTACTTCCTTTCTTCTCATGCAATATACATTAATGCACACACACACACACACACACACACACACACACACACAGAGAGAGAGAGAGAGAGAGAGAGAGAGAGGGAGAGAGAGAGAGAGAGAGAGAGAGAGAGAGAGAGAGAGACTATTTTCATCCAGACATAGGAACAGAATAACTATAATGAAAAATAACGTTAAAAGCTTATGAAGGATAGGCCTGTAGGAACAAAAAATGTTTAAGATGTCTTTTGAAGCTATCAAGTGTTTTTATTTGTATTAGTTTCATGGGTAATCTGTACCACATAAATGGATCAAGATATGAGAAAGATCTCTCTCCATATGATTTGTATGATTTTACAGGTGTCACATGGGATACGAACGCATGTCTTCTGTGTGCGAGACTGTAGAGTCTAACCGATCCACCACAGAATCAGATGCGGGTATTTTGTCTCGGCGTATGAGGAAACGTAGTCGGAGTTTACTGTCTTTGTCGTGACTTTAAGTTCACTTTAAGAACCAGAACCTCCGATTTTCTCAACAATTTATTACGATAGGACAAAGACAAGTATGCGGAGAGCCTTCAAAACTTCAAAACTTCAGAAATTCAAAACGTCAAAACTTCCAAATGTAAAATCTTTCTAAGATGAGAATTAATTCGAATCACGGCTGAACTCGGAAATCGAAGTCATGTCTTTCTTGTGAGACGGAAAAGAACTTTGCCACTACATCACAGACGCCATTGTTTTGTTCCACCGTGCGAGGAGAGACGTTTCAGTGTTATGTCTCTGTCACCAATGTACGTTCGTTTACGGAGCAGAACCCCTGAATTTCACGACAATTTATGATAGAATAAAGACAGGTGAGAGATGAGCCTTCGAAACTTTCAAAGCATCACAAATTTAAGCTGCGGATTAGAGCCCGGGGCCTGAGTCACCGTATTTCAGTGTAATACCACCTCTGCAATCTGCGCCACGTTCCCTTAATCTTACACAGCATTCTGTAGACACCCACCAACCCAATCCCCTCTTTCCCACTCATTACTGCCTCCGCTGAAAAAAAAAAGAAAAACTTCTGAAAACATTGTATTATTTGAGAAGTCAAGAAAGATAAGTTAGAAATAAGTGATGTGTCCGGGTTACAAAACAGAGAAGCACAACACCAACTTGAGATTGATGTTTTCCCTCCAGGGTGTCCCACAGAGTGTTGCCAAAGTAAAAACACAGCCAAGAGCATTGTCCCAGCTTTACATGACTGACGAGAAAGTTATTTTAAAGGAAAAGATAAAATGTCAACTCCGGCGAACGAACAGTGACTAAAAAAAAACACTTTGATATAATTCATGACTGTTCTTATAATGAGGAGCGCCTATTCGTAGTTTATTCAAGTTGGACGTCGAGTCACGATGTTTGCTGAAGTTTAAAATATCTTTATGTAATTGGATGGATGTTCATCAGTATTATAACTTAACCCCTTCACTGCCGTGTCGACGTACTTCTATGTACTTGTGGGTGCTCTAAAACTTGTTCACGGACATTTTTCTCTGCTGATTTGTACAATACATTTTAGGACACAAAGCCACAGTTTGTAGTTTCTTACTCATAAAAAGGGGAAAGATAATATAACAACATGATGGCTTTGTATACCTCCCTTGAAAGGACATGTCATTTTGTCAGTATAAACATAGGTGGAAACATCTCAGCAGTAGAGGGGTTAATAACCAAGAGAACCTGTTGGACAATCCAGATTTTGATCAGGTTCCATCGTGCGCACATGGCATTACATGTATATGGATACTTTCAGACTGAGACTGAAAGTGAGCGAAATTCAGAGACAAGAGGGACAACAATTCTGATTAGATCGCCATGACTTTCACATCCCTAACCTTTATTTCCTTGTTCTGTATATCTCCTTAACATTCTGCC